TCTAACTAGGAGTTACCCTTACTGGCAAATAAAGAAATTGACAGTTAAACTTACTAGCCGTTCATAAAACTGACAGTTAATCTTACTGACAGTTAATCTTACAGACAGTTAAACTTACTGATAGTTAAACAAACTGACAGTAAAACTAACAGTTTAACTTACTGGCAGTTAAATTAACAGACAGTCAAACTTACTAGCCGTTCATAAAACTGACAGTTAATCTTACTGATAGCTAAACAAACTGACAGTTAAACTTACTGTGTGTGACATAGTTACTTACCAGAGGAACTTACCCGTGCGCTGGTAGTTCCTATCACAAAGAACTAAACGGGAGATATCTCGAGCGTGGCTAACTATAGGCCTATCTCACTGGCCACGATAGTGGCCAAGGTGCTTGAACGTGTCATCCACTCCTACACAAGCGCAGTAGGTATTGATGACGGGCAGTTTGGATTTCGACCACAAGTTTCAACAGACATGGCTATCTATATTCGCTCTAGTCAGCTATTACAAACAGGGTAACACGACAGTATATGGCTGTTTTCTAGATCTAAGCCGCGCCTTTGACACACTTAATCACGATCTATTGTGGAAGAAGATACGGGACACAAGTGTCCCGTCTGAGATTGTTGGCCTCCTCGAGTATTGGTACTGTAACCAGACCAACAATGTCAGATGGGGCAATAAGCTGTCAGACTGTTATCAGCTTCCATGTGGTGTCAGGCAGGGGGGCTTACATCTCCTGATTTGTTTAATATCTATATTAATGATCTAATCGGGGAGCTGAGCAGGACTCCAGTGGGGCTGAGGTTGGATGGCAGATACGTCAACAACCTAAGCTACGCTGATGATATGGTGTTGCTCAGCCCCTCGATTAAAGGCTTACGAAAACTTATCGCGATATGTGAAATATATGCCAAAGAGCATAATCTAACATATAACGCAAATAAAACAGAAATGATAATGTTCAGATCGGGAGAGGTGCCACAAAATGTCCCCGTCGTGTGTGTTAATGGGCAGCCTGTCAAGGTAGTGGACAACTTTAAGTACCTTGGCCACATCGTAACTTCCCGTCTTAAAGATGACGCTGATATCGAGCGACAACGTAGGGCTCTATGTGTGGAGGGCAACATGATTGCTAGAAAATTCAAATGCGCAGCGCCTGACGTGAGAATCACTCTGTTTAAATCTTTCTGCCAGTCGTTTTACACTGTCAGCTCTGGACTAACTATACTAAGAAGTCGCATGATGGCATACGAGTAGGCTTTTTTTTTTTTTTTTACGTTGGGAAATGCATTTACGCACGACGTGTGGGACTCACCGGCGTAATACAGCCAATACTACCCACTAAAACCCAACAAAACCTTCCCCCGTCTCAATGGGGCGTCGCAGGATCGCTTACGCATTCAACTACGACGCCCCGACGGCAGGTCCGCCGAAGCAGACCACCACAACCATGGGGTTGCTCCACAGTCCACTCTGCTATCAGAGAAGTACCAGGAGCAACCCGCATGGTACACCGCACTCCGAAGAGGGCCACCTCCCACCGCCCACCGAAGTGGGCAACCTCACTGTGCGTTTCTTAGCTTCGCTACTGCTACTGAGCCCCCCCACCACGACAAGGTGAACGCACGTTGGGGGGGGCATACGAGTAGCCTACAATAACGTTTTTCGAATCCTCATGGGCCTGAAGCTTTACTGTAGCGCTTCAGAAATGTACGCGGAGGCTAATTGTAATTTATATTGTTTATATTATTTTATTTTTATTGTATTACTGTATGTGTACTATGGATCAAGGGTCTGAAATTAAGAATTATTATTATTATTAAACTTACTAGCCGTTCATAAAACTGACATTTAATCTTACAGACAGTTACCCTTACTGATAGTTAAAGAAACTGACAGTAAAACAAACTGACGGTTAAACTAACTGAAAGTCATGCTAACTGACAGTTATAATTGCTGACAGTTAAACTGACAATTAAACTTACTAGCGGTTCATAAAACTGACAGTTAATCGTACAGTTGACAGTTAATCTTACAGACAGTTACCCTTACTGACAGTTTGACAGTTTAACTTACTGGCAGTTAAATTAACTGACAGTCAAACTTACTAGCCGTTCATAAAACGGACAGTTAATCTTACAGACAGTTACCCTTACTGATAGTTAAACAAACTGACAGTTAAACTAACTGAAAGTCATGCTAACTGACAGTTTAACTTGCTGGCAGTTTAATTAACTGACAGTTAAACTTACTAGCCGTTCATAAAACTGACATTTAATCTTACTGACAGTTAATCTTAATTTAGTTCATTTGGCTGATTCATTATTAATGTTACTCTAAGGTTGTGGCAGATACGAGATCTGTGGATTTTTTTCTGTCTTCCATGTTTGTCTTCATATTTTTCTTATACTATTTATAATTCAATTTGTGTATTTATTTTCTTTAAATCTATACATATAATAAAATTGTAACTAAGCCGAATCTGTACATTAGATATTTTTGGGAAAATCTTATTGAAATAAACACTATTATCGATACAGAGGCCGAATCTATAGTTTTTAGAATTTTTGTCTGTGTGTCTGCCCGTCTGTTACCGCATCACAGAAAAACCACTGAAGGGATTTTGATGAAATTTGGTATGGTGATAGCTGGTTATCCGGGTCAACATATAGGATACTTTTTACCGCGGGAAAATGTCTCATTTTTCAGAAAAAATACAAAAATATATATTACGGGACTTAACACGGAGGAAAAAATAAGACCGCGTACCAGGACAACTTGATGAGAAGTATATTCATTTAAGAATGACCCACACAGTACAACAAAAATAATAAAAGTTAAAGTTAACTGTGAGTAGTTCAAAATACGTTGCTTTAAAAATCATCAGGCGCTCGAACATGCCCCCGGACGTTGAAAGATTATCTTTCAACAAGAATCAGCCTCTGCTACGGGTAACAGACACATTTTATTGAAGGCTCGTCTTATTACTCCAGCAGACGTATTGATATCAGCCACACGAACAATTGAATCTGATCCTGGATGCACTGCAACAATTCGTCCTAATTTCCACTTAAGAGGGGGTAGGTTTTCCTCTTTAACCACTACCAAGGAACTCAGCTTCAACTCATCTCTACAGAAACGCCGTTTGGTTCTCTGTTGTAGTTCGGAAACAAACTCCTTGCTCCATCGAACCCAAAAGTCCTGGCGAAGTTGCTCAATCCTTTGGAAACTAGTTAAATGATGAACAGAATCGTCCCGGTAATCACGCCGTGGTAGTGAAGTAAGCGTTCGACCAATAAGGAAGTGTCCTGGCGTCAGAGGTGTATAGTCTGCAGGATCAGAAGACATTGGCGTTAATGGGCGAGAGTTCAATATCGCCTCAATTTGGAACAATGTGGTGTTAAGTTCTTTGAAGGTAAGGTTACATTTTCCCAACACTCGTTTGAGATGATAATTCGCCGACTTTACACCCACTTCCTAGAGTCCGCCAAAATGAGGAGTATACACGGGGATAAAATACATTTTAATGCCATTATTTGCCAAACTTTTACTCAACGAATCACAATTAAATTTAAGAAATATTGAAATTTCATGGTACTGTTATAGCACTTTACACTAATTGGTTTTTAAGAAAAAGAAAATAACTTGGAATTACATAAAACACAGTTTTATTTAAAAGATTGGACCCGATTTTATTAGGACAAGTATCACGCGCGGATGTTGGAATCGGACTAAACTATAATTAATATTTAAAATTATGAACCATCAAAAGTGCTGACCAAGGAGAAGGATTAGGGCTACTAGGCGCTATTATATACATAACATATATATAACAGTACGCGCCAACGAATGAGGTACCGTTGTCGGAAAAAATATTGATGGGTTTTTCCCCTACGCGAAATGAATCGATATAAAGCCAATAAATACTTATTAGTAATTAAATCACCTACTAGTTCCAAGTGGATGGCCTTAGTAGTGAAGCAAATAAATATCGCGATGTACACCTTTACTAGCCTACAACCTCGACCTTGCCGACTAGCGCACATTATAGGGCCAGCGTAATCTACGCCAACACTTTCAAAAGGAAAAACTCTCGGAAGAAGTCGCTGCTGAGGCAACTTTCCCATTAATGGTGTAACTACACTACCTTTTATCCGACAACAGCGCACACAGCTACGATAGCAAACCTTCGCTAAATTTTGGCCACCTATGGGCCAATACGATTCTCTTATCGAGGCCAATAATAATTACGGTCCCGCGTGCATCAATTTTTTATGTTGATAATGGAATAATAATTTAGTAAAAATATGAGTAGACTGCTTAATAATGGGGTGTTTTTTGTTATAAGAGAAATCTGAATTTTCTTAACGTCCACCGACACGCATTATTTTATTAGAGTCTAAATAAACATTAAACTTAAGTAATGGACTATTGATAAGATACTAATTTTTGTTGTTTTATGAGTGTTATATTTACTAAATAATATGTCATTTATGTCTGGAAAAAAAATTGCATATGTGAGTGTATAATGTCAAATTATTTTAGTAATTAAAGGCTATTTTATTTTATTTTATTTATTTTTAATGGACTTTTTGCAGGTAAACTTTGTTTATTTATAAGTAATTCATACTCTGGAAATGATTCCCCCTGATATTTTACAATAATAACATTTAATGCTTCCTGTAGTTCATTTTCTGATAAAATGTTATTAGTTACAGGGATCTCTCGGCAGATTTTAATAAAACGCAACACATATGCTACGCAACGAATAAGTCGTAAATAATTTGAAAAATGTTTGAAACTTATGAAAGTACGGTCTTTTGAATGTATATTTTCAGTTTTAAATTAAAATTATTTATTAAGTTTAAGCCACTTCGAATGCAATAATAAGTAAATGGAATAAAAACACGCTTTGATAAATTATTATTTATTACGTAAAAAGTAGCTTCGTTGCTACGTTCCTTCCTACCAACAAAACAAGCCAAGCAAGTTGAATGGAACGCGCGCGTCCATCTCAGGACATGAAGGAGGTGAAGTGTGGAGCAGTGGAGAGGGGAGGGTGTAGCGATGCTCGTCGCGCATTGCACGAGTGATAAATTCCTCCGCCATTTTGTTTAGTCAGTCTGCCATAAGTATTCGACGCGCCAGCGCGGGCAGCGTGAACGTGGTAGTGTTTGGTGACGCTCTTTATAGGTGAGTATCTACTAAATTAATTTTGTTATTCAATAAAACGTAACTTACAGTCTTAGCTTGTTGTTCTAGGATTCTAATGTAATTATTTGATATATTGACGTCATTCGCCACTCGTCGCGCTATTTTTATGGTGTTTTTTTAGGTGTATTTGAACTTTTTTTGGTATTTATATCCGATTTTTATTGCTAATATTTTAATGTAATACTAGCGCTAACTAACCATGAATAGGTACGGAATCGCAACCGTTGCTTGCAAGCATTACATCGTGAAAAAATACGATTGCTATTATTATAATAGAACTAAGTTTCCTTTCAGATGAATCCCCTTCGTTGACCATAAATCAATGAGATATGGATTTTGGAGTAGTAACTAGTAAGGAAGGAGACAACACATCATTTGGCACTATTTTTTCAGAAACAAAAACAAAAATGAAGCTAAATATAAAACATGCAAAAAAGTATTGAAATCAGCCGGTGGTAGTACTAGCAGTCTACTAAGACATTTAAAGAATATTCACACGGTTGATATAGAGGCTGCAAGGCATTCATCAACCGAAACAACAGCTTAAGGTAGTGCATATACTTCAAAAGAAATTTCCGAAGCGCCAAAAAAGAAAACTAAGTTGACACACTATTTTGAGACTGATGCAAACCCAAGTATGCAGGTTATGGTGTCTCGTATGGCTGCAGTTGATGGAATTCCTCTTTGAACGTTCTCAAAATCTCAAGATTTAAAGTACCTTTTTGAAAAGACCGGCAACAAATTACCCACTACTGCTGATACCGTTCGCAACATAATTCTCAAAGACTTTGATAAAAGGAAGCTAGAAATAATCAACGAGATAAAAATTATACTGTCAGATGAAAAGAAGTTTTCGATATCATTCGATGAATGGACATCCAATAAAAATAGAAGATATATAGGGCTCACTTTACATTCACCAAATTTTGCAAGGGATAGCAGTTTTCGAAATCTAGGTCTCATACGCATTCACGGCTCCATGAATGCAGCCTCATGCGTACAATTGATTGAGGCCAAGTTGGCCGAATATGGGGTATCTCTAACAAATGACATCGTCGCTCAAACCACAGACGGTTGCAGCCTAATGGTTGCATTAGGGAAGTCCCTTAAGTCATACCATCAGCTATGCATCGCTCATGGCGTTCAGCTGGCAATTGGGGACGTAATGTACGAACGCAATGCCGGCTTCGAGGAAAAGGTCGCTCAGCTTGCCGAACTTGACGAGGATGAAGATTTGCCTTTATCGGTATTGGCTCCAAGACTGCGAATTGTAGAATTTAACGACGACACGAATTCTACAGATAATGACGCGGATGGTGTTGAATTTAATAATGAATCCTCGTTTATGGAGTCTTTCAGTTCACAGTCTTTTAGAGACAACGATCTGCTATCAAAAGTACGAAAAGTGGTAAACATCTTCAAGAACTCACCGACAAAAAACGATGACATCCTTCAAAAACATGTCAGATCTTGTGATGTTTATTTAGAAATGTCAGATCTGATTTTGGACAGGAGTACTCCCTGCTGTTAGATGGGAAAACGCGCTGGAGTAGCATTTCTGCCATGTTAGGTCAGTTTCTGAAATTGAAAATATCTATTACAAAAGCTTTAATTGATTTAAAAACTGACATTGCATTTACTGATGATGACTGGAGAAATATAGATGAGATCCATAAAATATTGGATGTTATTAAAACTGTCGTCGAGGCGCTATGTCGACGCGATGCAACATTACTTACAGCTGATGTTTCCCTAAAATTTGCATTAAAGAAAATTGATGAATTGAAGACACCACTAAGTAACAAAATGGCAACTGCATTGAGCAAACGATACGCAAAAAGAAGACTAACTCAAGCAGCAACACTACAGTACTTGACTAATCCGGGTAAATATTTTGAGAACATTCGAAATGAAGATAAAACTGTTTTTTATCGGCCTACAGGTGGTGAAATGCTAAACGAAATTGTTAATCTGATTAAACGCGCAACCAAAAAACAAAATATACCTCTTAAAAATTTGCCAGCGCCAGACCAAGACCTTCAGAGAGAAATTAACATTCAGTTGTCTACTTTGACAAATGAAGAGGAACTGAACAGACAGTTAAGTCAGGATCAGCTTGTCCATCAGACGATTTGCTTACTACTGTGAGAGTAGAAATGGCACTCTTCGAGAATGGCGGTACGCGACAGCGAGGGCGTTACCTATCGCTGATATGAACATTTAAAAACTATTCCACCTACTAGCGTCGAGCCGGAGCGAATATTTTCTTCGGCTGGAATTGTCTGCAATAGATTGCGTTCGTCTTTGAGTGACAAAACTTTAGATGCCCTAATTTTTTTACGTTCATTTTACATAAGTTAGAAAAAAATCTAATAATTCAATCCTGATTTATGTTATTTTTATGTTACGTTATATTCAAAATGGTATTGGTTACTATTTTATATGAATATCTCTTTTTTCTAAAGTGGTCAGATGGTCAGAGGGTATGTATTAACTATGTTGTTTAAATAACATGTCAAATGCATAACTACTTTTTACTTTTTAAATAAAACTATCTTTTCGGATTTTGTCGCGGATTTATTTGTATTTTTGTTTCCCGACGTTTCGCCTACACCCTACCCTAAAATACAATTTACAATGGAATTGGAGTCTAATAATTCTTTAGCTTTCTTAGATGTATTAGTCATACGTAACCCAGATAACACCTTGAGTCATACTGTGTATCGAAAGAAGACCCATACTGATAGGTACTTGAATGGTGAATCTCACCACCCCCCTTCACAGTTAGCTACCGTGGGAAAATCTTTGTTTCAGAGGGCACGCGGGATCTGTGACGAGCAACACCTGGCCGGAGAACTGCAACATGTCAAGCAAGTTCTGCGAGACAACAAGCTGCAAGTGCCGCGCCTACGTCACAGGGACCGAGTGAAACCAGCCACAGTCGAGCGCGTCCCTGCAGTCCTACCTTACATGAGAGGCGTCACTGACAAGATTGGCTACATTCTAAAGCGAGCTTCAATTAAAACTTACTTCAAGCCGCCAAAGAAAATTAGTCAGTTTCTACCACCTGTCAAGTGCCACATCCCTCTACAAGATGCAGGAGTTTACAAGCTTGATTGTGATTGTGGGCTCTCTTACATCGGACAAACAAAGAGATCCATTAGAACCCGGGTCAAAGAACACATAGCTGATGTGAAGCACCGTCGCAATACAACATCTGCTGTCTGCAAACACAGTCAGGACCGCCCAAGCCATTATATTCGCTTCGATAGGCCTCAAATCCTGGCGAAAGAAAACCGATATCGCCCTAGAATGATTCGAGAAGCCATAGAAATTAAAAAACATCCTAATTTCAATAGGGAAGATGGCTGGGTACTACCATCGTCATGGGATCCTGTTATTAATATAATAAAATCTAATAATAAATCTAAACATAACAGACAGGTAGATGTAGTAAGTTCTTACTGTGTAGATCAAAATGATAGCATTTCTGATTAATAATATTTTTTCACTTTTTCATTTGTAAATGTATGTAGTAATGTGTTGCTTAATAATTTGTTTTTTAAATAATAGCAAATTAAAATTAAAATTATTATTTTTTAATTAATCTTAACTTTTTCAAATTACACATAGACCAATTGTGGCTTAAATAATTAATACTATATTTGCTATTTTTCTTATGGTTATAAATATAATAATGGCAACACTAAATATAGATTGCTAATTAATATTTTTAAAATTGTAATAATTATAAAAATAATAGCAAAAATTAAATAAATAATTTTCCATATTCAATTATAATTAAAATTATAAAAATATTTAAAGTTAAAATATTGTAATGTAATTGGTGCAATTTTCATTTTGTTAATTGTGGGTAGGCTGTCTGTAACAACTATATCTTTAAGACATGTAACACCTCAGTCTCTCCCGTGACCATGGATGCTGTAAAGCATTCGAAACGTCGGGAAACAAAAATACAAATAAATCCGCGACAAAATCCGAAAAGATAGTTTTATTTAAAATGTCAAATATTCGCGTAAATCTAAGAAAGTATTACTTTTTACTTAGTATTTTAGTTAATTAGATAAAGAACTGATTATTAACTAAAAGACTGCAATTTAATTTATATTAGAATAGTAGAATAGAAGACTAGAAGTATTCGTTACTTAATTGTTAATGCGAAGAAGAGTTTTATTAATGTTAAAATTATTTGTGATACGACAAAAATGTCTTTTGAAGATATTATTTTTATTAGCTTTACACTAAGTGAATGTTACTATAATAATATAGACGTGGAAGCCCTTAATAGGCATTTTGCTACTGTTCCCTTAATAGAACATACAATAAAAGCTAATACTCTTTATTCTCTTGCCCTTGACCCTAAGCCTAATTCTACGCTCTTTAATTTTTCACCTATCTCTCCTAAGGATGTTAAGATGCATATAATGGCTATAAAATCTAACGCCATTGACACACATCTTTAATCATTCTCTCTCTTCAAATACCTTTCCTAGATGCTGGCGTTCAGCTCATGTTATTCCCATTCCAAAAACTTCTAATCCCTCATCGTTTTGTCACTATAGACCAATTTCAATACTTCCTTTTCTTTCTAAGGTGCTTGAACGTGTGGTCTACAGCCAACTTTCATTACACCTTTCAACGTATAATTTGCTCAGCCCCTACCAATCCGGATTTCGACCTGGATATAGCACGACCACTGCTCTGATTAACATCTGCGATGATATAAGGAACGGGACTGACAATAAGCAAGTTACCATAATTGCGTTATTAGACTTCTCAAATGCTTTTAACACTGTAGACTTTGACATTCTCCTAGCAATCCTACAGACAATGAACATTTCGTTAAATGCTGTTGACTGGTTCCGCTCCTATCTCTATGATCGGAAGCAATGCATTCGTGTCGAGGACAAGCACTCATCCTTCTGTTACCTGAAAGCGGGTGTCCCTCAAGGCGGTGTCCTATCTCCTCTTCTTTTTTCTATCTTCATCAACTCCATAACTAAGCTTCTATCATTGCCTTTTCACCTTTATGCTGATGACCTGCAAATCTATGAAACAACACCCATAGATAGTCTTCATGATGCCATAGCCAAACTAAATTCTAATCTCAATACTGTAAGTTCGTGGAGTATAATATCGTTTGGGTTATTTGTAAACCCGAGTAAGTCGCAGGTATCCCTATTTGGTTCTCGTCAGCTAGTATCCAAAATTAATATGTCATCCCTTTCACTTATTTTATTCGACGGGACTATACTGCAAATTCGCAGCTCTGTTAAAAATATGTGTATGTATAATGGATAATTCCTTATCATGGGCGCCCCAGATTTATGAAATAAGTAGGAGGTTCTTCGCTGTAATTAGTCGTTTGAGGAGGTGGAAAAATTTTTTACCAATAAAAATCAAAGTAGCACTAGCACAAACCCTTCTCCTTCCCTTACTCGATTATGCCGATACATGCTATCCTGACTTGTCGCAGATTCACCTCAATAAATTGGAACGTCTACAAAATATGGCAATCCGATTTGTTTACGGTTTGAGAAAATTTGACCACATCTCTCAATATCGAGCTCAACTCAAATGGCTCACCGTCAAGCAGCGTCGTAACTTGCATATCCTCACTCTCCTATACACCATCCTTTTTCACTTCCACACTCCTCCTTACCTTAAAACAAGGTTTAGTTTCCTTGGTTCTAGCCATTCCCTAAACCTTCAATCGCAAGCTAACAGTAAATTAGCATTGCCCGTCAGTCGCACCCAAAGCTATGGTGACTCATATACAGTCAAAGCCGCAATGTTAGGGAATGCTTTACCACATAATATTCGCCAATCAAAATCAGTGCAAGTTTTGAAACGTCGTCTTAAAGACTATTATTTATCCCTGTAAGTCTATGTATATTTATGTACATCCTGTTTATGTAAGTTTATTGTGGAATATATACGTATATTGTATAAGTAAGTATGTTATATTGTTTTTTTTTTGCGCCAACCCCTATCCATTCTACCTTATGAGTTCCTTTATAGGTTTATGGGTTGCCTGGAAGAGATCACTTTAAGTGATAAGGCCACCTTTACACAGATTTTTTTTTATATAATATGTGTTTTAAAATTGTTCTTCTTTTCTGGTGTAATAAATTTTTGTTGGCATCATTAGCGTAGGTTGAGAGCGTGGCGCGCGTATGTCGTGATTTTCCGATGTTGTCATTGGCTTGTTATCGCGTCATGCCGCGCGTGGTACCAATAGCGTTGGCTGCGGGTAGCCAATAGCGTGAGGGCTGCGGCTGCGCTCCGTTTCTCGGTGCCGATGTGGCGCCGACATCTTCCCGGCCCTTGAAAGCTCTAGTGTAGCTTTCAAGCATCATGGCTTTCGTCAGGTGATAGGAGAACCAGGCGATTGAGTGCTCGCCTTATAGTTCCATTGGCTGTGGCTATATCGGCAACTCTAGGCGTTTGGTCGGACCCGACGTAGAGCCTGCTTACTCTTCCTAGGCGCCGGCATAGGGGTGGTGTATTGGCTTCCTTTATAAGGACTAGATCGTCTTGCTTGAGATCTCGGGACTTCACTCGCCACTTGGTACGCTGCTGTAGCTCTCCAACATATTCCGATGACCATCGACTCCAGAAGTGCTGCTTGATTTGTTCAAGGCGCTGAAACCGGTCGAGCCGCTGCGTCCCGTAGTCCAGATAGCTCGGCGAGGGTAGCGCCGTCATTTGCCTACCAATCAAAAAGTGAGCAGGGGTAAGAGTCTGGAAATCAGTAGGTGATGGGCTTATAGGACAAAGGGGTCGGCTATTAAGGATAGCTTCTATCTGTGCAAATACAGAAGTCAGTTCCTCAAATGTCAAGTGAGACTGTCCAAGGATTCTATGCAGATGGAACTTAGCCGACTTGATACCGGCCTCCGCTAGACCGTTGAAATGAGGAGCGTAAACGGGAGAAAAACGAAATTCTATGCCCCGCCGGGCAGCAAAGTCACATATAGAGTCACTATTTGTTTGCAAAAACTACCAATTTCTTTTGCGGCAGCTACAAAATTGCGACCATTATCACAGTAGATGATTCTAGGCATTCCTCTACGAGCAATAAATCGTTTTAAAGTTAACACGAAAGCATCTTTGGTTAGTTCACTCACTAGTTCTAAATGTAGGCACTTATATCTAAAGCATACGAAGATGCACAAATAACATTTAGTTATCTTGCATCCCCGTCGTTTGCGATCTGTTATTAGAAATGGACCGGCAAAGTCAGTGCCAACAGTACTGAATGGAAAGTCAGGCTCTACCCTATCAGCAGGTAAATTACCCAATATATTAGACATCGTGTCGCCTTGGAAGCGACGACAAACTAAGCAATTTCTTGTCACTTCTCGAGCGAGCCTGCGACCTCCTATAGGCCAATAGCGCTCTCGAATAGAGGAGAGTAGAAGCTGGGGTCCGGCATGCAATAGGCGGATGTGCTCATACTGAAAAATAAGCTTAGTGAGATAATGATTTGACTTTAGAACAATGGGATGTCTTTTATCATAGGGATAGGCAGAGGTGTCAATTCTTCCTCCAACACGAAGTAAGCCATTCTTATCTAGGAAGGGATTTAATGAGCAGAGATGAGTGCTCGTCTTGAGGGTTTTCTTAGCCTGTAGAGATTTTATTTCCTTTGAGAAGTATTCATTTTGAGCTATTTTAGTGAGAACAGTCATGGATTTTTCTAGTTCATGAACTTGTAGAGTTCCCGTCAGTTTATTATTACTGTTTTTACAATTGTGTATGAATCTAAAGACTCTAGCATAGACTCTTTGAAGAGTAGTATTTATTAAATATACAAAAATTAAGTATTTTTGAAAGTTTAGGGGTACCGCAGGTACATCCTCCGCCACCAAAGCGTGCATCGCTTTTAATTCAGGTAAGTTGACTTCATTGCCAGCTGATAAGATTGGCCAGGATGACTCAGGTTGCATGAGGAACATAGGGCCATGCCACCATATAGTTGAATCATTGACCTCTTGGGGATCTACACCTCGTGAGGCGAGGTCAGCGGGATTTTCAGCAGTGGGAACATAGCGCCAAGCCTTTGGGTCGGTGAGTTCGCCTATGGCAGCGACTCTGTTTGCTACGAATGTTTTGGTTTTGTCGGGAGATCTAAGCCAGCCTAGAACCACACAAGAGTCAGTCCAAAAGACGCAGCGCTTAAGTTCGACTCTCAACGCTTTAATGACAGCAGAGCTTAATTCAGCTCCAAGGAAAGCACCACAGAGCTCTAGACGAGGGATGGTGCAAGCTTTGATGGGAGCTACACGAGCCTTGGCACATAATAAGTTGACATGCACGTTGCCATTCCCGTCTATAGAGCGTAGGTAGATACAGCTTCCATAGGCTACCTGTGAAGCGTCACAAAAACAATGAAGCTCTACATTGTTTGAATTGGCTAGGGCTCGTCTGGGGACCTTTAGAGACGATAGAGCGTTAAGCTGCTGGCTGAACTTTTGCCAAGAGACTTGGATAGAGTAGGGAACTGGTTCGTCACAATCTATTTTTTCTTTCCACAGTTTTTGAAGAAGGATTTTTGCTCTAAAAGTGCACAGGGACAATAGACCTAGAGGGTCAAATATCTTGAATGCTGAAGACAAGATAGCCCTTTTGGTGAACATAGTACTTGGCGAATGTTCGAGAGGAAAGTGAATACTGTCAGATTGAGGGGACCAGTCAATACCAAGGGTACTTGCGGCATTGCTGATGATTAGATTTTTATTATTGTTAGGATCAGCCTCTAGGACATTAAGTAAGTTTGAGCGGTATTTTCTAAGTGGAAAGCAGCCTTTAGCCAGCTCACTGGAAACCGCGCGTTGAATGCTACGTAGCTCTTCGGCCGTACTTGCCCCTGTCAATAAGTCATCACAATAGATATCATTTTGAATAATAGTTTTGATGGTAGAGTCGTCACATTCATCCCCGATTTGCCATATGCACCTGGTGCTGAGGAAGCTAGAGCTCGCAAATCCGTAGGTTATAGTATTGAGCCTTAGAGTGCGCAATTTTTCATCTTCATTGTCGCGCCACAAGATTAGTTGCAGATTGCGATCCGACTCTCTAACTCTACTTTGTCGATACATCTTCTCTACATCTCCAGAAATGACATATCGATGCTGACGAAATCGAACTAAGATGTTAAACAAAGAGTCTTGGACAGTGGGGCCCACCATCTGTAAGTCGTTTACCGATAGGCTAGAAGTAGTGGGTTCAGAGGCGTTAAACACAACTCTAAGTTTAGTGGTTTCACTTTTGTCTCGAATCACTGGGCGATGAGGGAGAAAATAGGAATTTGGGGGTTTGGTCTCTGTAGACTCTGAAAGGTGGCCAAGGTCGGCGTACTCATGAATGAAGTCACAGTACATGTTTTTCAACTCAGGATTTTTTCTAAAACGAGCTTCAAGATTATAGAACCTTTTTTTTGCTATGAAGTAGGATTCGCCCAGACAATCTGGTTCATCCCGTAGAGGGATACCTACACAAAAACGACCATCACTTTCTCGGCGAGTATCAGAGATGAAAAGCTTCTCACAAAGCCTTTTTTCCTCAGATAGAGGTTGGGATTTAGGGACATTTTCAAGTTCCCAGAATTGAGATAGATCCTCCTGAATGTCCTCGAGCTTATCCTTCCTTTGAAGAAAGTTGCAGGTTAGGAACCTTTTAGGTGGAGGTTGCATTTGAATAGGCGCAGGACCTGCGATGAGCCATCCGAGCTTAGAGCTATGAAGATTAGGGTTATTCAACCCTAGAGACCGCTGTTCGGAACCTATCAGGTCCCAGAACAGGTCAGAGCCTATAAGCATGTCAATAGGGGATGGTTCGTTGAAGCTGGGGTCTGCAAGCTCCAAGTTATTTAACTTTAGAGAACTAATATTGAAATGATGCTTGGGTAAGTCATCAGATATAGTTTTCAATACTAGACAAAACATAGAGACTTCGAACGACGAGGTATTAGATTGAAGTTTTAAAGAGCAGCGCTCTGGACTTAGATTTAGAGTATTATTTCATATAGCGACAATGTTGACATTTGATGGCCGAGGAGTTAGATTGAGTCTTTGCTTTACACTCTCAGTGATAAAAGACGATTGGCTCCCACTGTCAAGTACGCGCTCTAGCGCGTGCGCATATAGTTTCATTGGTATTAGGATTAGTTAGTCGCACCTTGGCGGTGCACAAAAGAATATCTGACGAAGACAAGGCAGACATAACTACTGACGAAGGCAAGTTGCAAGTTGAGGCAACTCTACTCTCTACTGTTGGTATATGTAGCAAAGTATTGTGTTTTTGTTTACATAAACGACAAGTCCCAGGCAAGCGGCAAGCCTTATTATTGTGACCTGACCTTAGACAGTTTTTTTTTTTTTTTTTTTTATACTATTCCGAATTAGTGCTTGACTACGTTCCACCTGATGGTAAGTGGTAACGCAGTCGTAGATGGTAAGTCGCACTAATTCAGTAGCCACCTATTCACTCTTGCCTTGAAGACACCCATATTATAATCGGACGGAAACACCGACGCAGGCAGGTTGTTCCAATCCTTAGCCGTACGTATAATAAATGACGTAGCGAAACGCTTCGTGCGGACGGGTGGAATGTCCACGACATAAGGATGGAGACCAGCCGTTCGTCGAGTTGTTCGATGATGGAAAGGGGATGGGGGAATTAATTCATGTAGTTCCTGCGCACACTCTCCGAAATGTAACCTATAGAATACACAAAGGCTGGCAACCCTACGTCGGTGATCGAGGCTTTGTAAGTTAGCTTTTACCAGCGCAGGGTCACCTATAAGCCTTTGAGCACGCCTCTCAATCGAGTCCAAGGCTGACAGATGGCATTTCGCAGCACCAGCCCATATGTGGCTACAGTATTCCACACACGACCGGACTTGCGCTTTATATAAAACAAGAAGCTGTCCCGGCGTGAAATACTGTCGGACCTTTGCAAGGATGCCAACTTTCCTCGCAGCTACATTAGCCTTAGACTCGATGAACCGCCCGTAGTTCATGTTGGGGCTGATGTCCATCCCCAACAACTGCAGACGTTCTGTGTATTCCAAAGGCACATTCCGGAAAGTAGGAGTCAAGGTGAAAGGACTCCTTTTAGTGGTGAACAGGCACGCCTGTGTTTTGGTGGCATTGAAACTCACAAGATTGGCATCGCCCCAAGTGGAGACTGCCCTGAGTGTGAGATTCAACCGCTCTACCATGGCCTCTCTTTCGGACTGAATTTGATCTCTACTGGCCCGAGGATTCGGCAGGTATCTCTCTACAATAGTGCTGTCGTCTGCGTACCCATAGATACCGGGTATAAGCAGATCGTTGATATGCAGCAGAAACAAGGTTGCAGAGAGAACAGACCCCTGAGGAACTCCTGAGTTGGTCTTTAAGGGTTGTGATGAACAACCATCAACCACAACTCTGAGTGATCGGTCGCTCAGGAAGTCTTTAATCCAGCCGATCAGGCCAGGAGATATGCCATAGGCTGAAAGCTTATTTATAAGGCTAGCGTGCCAGACCCTGTCAAAAGCCTTTGAGACATCGAGGGAGACGGCAATCGCCTCCCCGCTTCGGTCAATAGTTTCGCCTAAGGTGTGATTGGCATACACTAGAAGGTCCCCAGTCGACCGATTCCGGCGAAACCCATATTGTCGATCACTGAGGAGATCGTTCTGTTCTAGGTATGCCATAAGACGAGTGTTCAATACACGCTCCATAATCTTGCAGAGTATGGAGGTGATTGAGATCGGACGATAATTGGCAGGGTCAGCACGGCTTCCTTTCTTGGGCACTGGTTGCACATTGGCAAGCTTCCAGGATTTAGGCACTATTCCAGTCTAGTTAGAACACAGATTAAGTGATTCGGCAATAGAGTTCCTATCTTCGGGCGTTTTGGACTTGAATGAGGCGCATTCATATATGCGGTGTTTACCGGAACAAACGACACACTCAAAATTGGATCGAGAAGAATTGGAAGCCTCTTTATGCGTAGCTACAACAAATGCTCTAGTCTGGTTCTTGTGTGGAATTGAGTGGTGGGTTACCTGTTTAGTTACTGTCTGTTTGTCTATTTTATTTCGATTCACAGTTTCTAAAACATCAGCACGGTTCTTTAGAAATGAGAAAAAATCATTTAGTGTGGGGATTTCTGTTAAATTATTTCTATGTTCTTCCCATTTAAGAACAGTACCGCTGTCTAACTTTGCCACCAGGTTATAAATTATAAGGACGTCCCACTTATCAGTGGGTAGCCCCAGCGTTTTGAGCGCTCGTAGATTTTTTGTTACGTGATCGATAATGAATCGAAGAGATCTGTCAGTTTCCCGTACAGACTCAATAGCAAATAATGATTTTAAATGGTTATTGATTAGTTGCCTTTTGTTGTCGTACCGGTTGCAGAGGAGTGACCAAGCTTCATCATAATTTTTATCTGATACTTCTAAGTTACTTAGTACCCGGGCAGCTTCACCCTCCAAGTAGGTGCAGAGGTAATGAAATTTGTGTACATTTTTTATTTCAAGATTGTCATGAATTAGTGAAGAATATATTTCTTTAAACTCCAACCACTTAGAATAGGTGCCATCAAATTTGGGTATGTTTATTGTAGGTAACTTGAACCCCAGAGGGTTGTGTTCAAGGTGATGGCACCCATTGGAGTGGGAACAGCTAGGAACATTACCTTCCACCCGCTTGGGAGCTGAGCTGTTAGACTGTATTAAATCTTGAGCGATAGCAATGCAATTATCAAATTCTTGTTCTATAAAATCGCGGGTGGACAATTCAGCAGATTGATTAGCCTCGCTATGCACCTCTATTTGACTCTGTAGCCCGTCGAACTCAATGAATAATGCTTCCATTCTAGATAGCTTCATTGCTAGCTTGTTGACTTCTACGGCAGAAATACTTTCCAAAGCTACTAATGATTCTAGATATATTTTAAATTTAGTCACGCGTCCCTTAATGGAACTGCGCTTTGTAATTAGTTCTTTAAATTTTAGTTCAGAAGTCATTGCAATGAGATATCAGAATGGCAGAAAATGATTAAATAGGTACGTTACGCTCCTCGTTTCGTGGTCCGTGGTGCGCGGCGTGGAGGTCCGGTTTCTTGTCAGCGAAGCGGGCGATTAGCTGAGCGGAATAGGCACCCAGCAGCTAGGCGCGCGCCGTTAGACCGCTGATCCCGAACAAACTGCTTACGCTGGAATCAACGTCAGCAAACTAAACAGCTGATAGAAGCAGGTAGGCACACAGCTTGGGACAGTAAGCACAAATGTAATTTTAAGTATGTTATCGAAATGGTTCGTGGGCAAGTAGGTATAAAGATAACCGTTAAGCAAAATGGCTAGGTAGGTACCTAATTAATTTAGGGGATTTTTTTTATTTATTTATTTAGTGAGGTAAATGCAGATGAAAATTTTAGGCAGCGTGCAATGACTTTAGCTCTCAAATTCCCTTTGTATGATTAGGCAAAATGCTTACCGCTAAATTTGGGACATGCAATGTTTTGCTAGCAATTGATTAGATCACCAAACATTTAGAGAAACAGACACTTAGTAAATACAAAGATAGAAGAGGATAGAACAAGCAAGAATGATAGGAACGGGCTCACTTTATGATCGTAGGCAGTTGATGCGGGCAGGTAGGTAGGTATCCGGGTTCCCCAGCCGTGGGATCAGCTGATTAGGCGGCTCCAGGACGTAGGCACCTCCAATACGGTCCTCTTCTTATTCTGCTGGCTCCGAACACCTCTGCAATGATGATGGCTGTCTGTTTCGGCGTCGATGATTTGTTGTAAAACCTGCCGGACTCGACAAAGATTATGTGCAAGTCGTCGTGTCCTGTCACGGTCGCCACTTTTGTGCGAGATAGGGAACAAACTTTAAATAAAAAATATATTAATGGTATAATTACAATTAGTACTTTAGGCAAATAAATTAGCTTAGGACACGACGCGCGTTCGATGCCGTGACAGGTGGTATTGTGTTTTCCGATGTTGTCATTGGCTTGTTATCGCGTCATGCCGCGCGTGGTACTAATAGCGTTGGCTGCGGGTAGCCAATAGCGTGAGGGCTGCGGCTGCGCTCCGTTTCTCGGTGCCGATGTGGCGCCGACAGTGTATTTTAAAAAATTACAATAAAAAGATCGAAATGCTCGAAAAAACCGGTCTACTCGGGTTTTGATTACTCTTAGACTTGAACTTGAACTAAAACCCGGGTTTTCAATCTTAGTAAGCATTTATTTAATTCAAAGTATTTTTCCTCTACATTAACCTTAGTCAGCAATTGCATTGTTCCTTTTTCAACTTTAATTCTAATTTTATTTTAAAAGTTAGTTAGACTCAGAGCCCCGGATAGATCGGACATAGATTCCGAGACGCGTTAAAGTACGGAAGTCAAGAATTTATAAAAATTTGTGTGTGAACTTTATAATAAACTTTTAGGTTTATTTTGTGTTCTTTTTTTTAAAAAGACTAACGGGGTCGGCCTCCTATCAAATTGGTGTCAGAAGTGGGATGCCAATAGAAAGTCGTAAAAGACATTGGCATCCGAATCCGAGGTCCCCAAAATCTTCAAGGTCGACAATAAGCCTTAGCCGTGCCTAAGCCTGCACCTACTACCATACACATTTTGGACGACGATCAGCCTCCGCTTTAAAGCGTGAGCCCGCTCCACACACACCTGATCCTGAAATCACCGGTCTGGTCGACGATCAGCCTCCGCTAGGAGCCCGCACCAGCTGGTCTTTTTTTTTTTGTTTTTTTAACGTTGGGAAATGCATTTACGCACGACGTGTGGGACTCACCGGCGTAAAACAGCCAGTACTACCCACTAAAACCCAACAAACCTTCCCCCGTCTTAATGGGGCGTCGCAGGATCGCTTACGCATTCAACTACGACGCCCCGACGGCAGGTCTGCCGAAGCAGACCACCACAACCATGGGGTTGCTCCAAAGTCCACTCTGCTATTAGAGAAGTACCAGGAGCAACCTGCATGGTACACCGCCCTCCGAAGAGGGCCACCTCTCACCGCCCACCGAAGTGGGCAACCTCCCTGTGCGTTTCTTAGCTTCGCGTCCGGTTGAATTGCCGGGCACTACTGAGCCCCCCCACCACGACAAGGTGAACGCACGTTGGGGGGGACCAGCTGGGTCTAACTCACCACCATCAACAAGAAAACATTCCGAAGAACATTCTAGATTCCTGCTATTTCCATTTCCCACGACGGAGAGTCATCGTGTCAGCGATTCCGTCCGCCAGCCGCCACGAGTGTAACGTGGCAGCCATTGTTACGCAAAATATGCTACGTGTAGAAATTATTATTTCCCTGTAAGTCGTTTTATATTTCTTTAAGCTTTAATTTTACTTTTATTTTACACTTTTACTGTCTTTAAAATTGTTTCTTGTGATTATTTCATTACAAATTTTAATTTCACAATATGTCACTTAAAGTAGAAAAGAATAAAGACAATATGTCAGAGAAAATTACGCTATCGTTTTTGACGAAATTTATTAAAGCTTATAATGGGGAAAAGGAATCTGTACCCGCTTTTCTCACAAATTGTGACAATGCAATGTCATTAGGTACTTCAGAACAACAACCAATTTTATGCAAATTTATTTTATCACAACTTGAGGGAAAAGCTCAAGTTGCGTGTAGTTTAAAAAATTTTGAAACATGGACCGAAATAAAAACATTTCTCCGCTCTACTTTCGGAGAGAAAAAACACTCGACACACCTACTATCAGATTTGCAAAACTGTAAACAATTATCCGAGGACGTCACAAAATTTTCCTTAAAACTAGAAGAAATTTTCACAAAAATCCAGTCAGATATACACTATAGCTGTAAAAATCCTGAAGAACTTCCAGGTAGGATAGCCGCCATGGAAGATCTAGCATTTAATACATTTTTATTAGGATTAAATCCTGTTATTTCTAATATAGTTCGGTGTAGTAATCCTCAAACGTTAAATTAAGCTATTCAATTAGCAATAGAGGAAGAAAAACTACAAAATCTTCAAACGTGTTCAAAAAATTCGAATCAGCACTGTAGTATATGTAATAAAACGGGTCATATAGCTACTCAATGTTTTAAAAATAAAAAACATTCTAATTTTAATTATAATAAACAAATTTCTCATCTATCAAGCTCTAACTCTGATAAATTAATATGTAACTATAGAGTTATGTAACTATGGAGCTGTATCTCAAAAGTAGAGGGAGTTACGAGTGACAAGCCCTATATAAGACTATGAAAACCAGCGCCGCGCTCTCTTCTCTGGTCAAAAGGCGTGCGCTCGTGGACTCGAAAAGATCTATTCAGAATACAGTATTTCGAAAATTAGTCATTGTGTGATTTTATTAATTTTATTTTGTTTTGTATATTGTATTGTATTGTATATTGGACTCGTTTTCCGCACTTAGACATTTGTTTTGTATAAATTATAATCATTTGTTTTTTAAATTTATATTTTTTAAAATTAAATTTACTTTTAAATTCTAAAATCAGAAGTGGGATTGGACGCTGTAAAAGCCGTTTCAAAGCCATCTCTGATTTCTTTAAAAATGTATAGAAAACGGCAACGGGAGCCACCGCGAGAGCGCGCGTCTTCTTCTAATTTAGATAGCCTATCAGCGACGATGGAGGCAATCCTTAACCGTCTGACAACGCTGGAACAACGCACCGGGACACCAGGTCCTACTACGCATACTGAGCGCGGGATCACGCCACCGCCGCCAACCGCAGCCGAGCCTACGCTTGCCCTTGCAGCACGCCACGTGGCGCGAGCGTGGCCAGCATCCCTAGCGCCGCCAGCTCCTCGGCACTATCAACGACGGCACCGGCGGACATCACTGAGCGTCTTATTGACGCGCTAAAATCCATAAACCCGGTGAGGTCTAATCATTATTATGTTTCGGATTTCGATCCTAGCATTCATGACGTCTATGCGTGGTGTGACGAAGTGGATCGTGCGCGATCACAAAACCAATGCGATGACAAAGAATGTCTAGCCCGTGTGGGATTATCCCTTAAGGGTGACGCTCGTTCCTGGTTACGTGAATGGTCTACGAGTAATAACGATCGTACTTGGTCAAATTTTAAATTGGAACTCAAAGCACTATATCCACGCCGCATCGACGTCGCAAATATTCTTTTTGATGTAATGTGTAAAGAATCTGATAAATACTCCACGTACGCCGACTACGCGCGTAAATCATTATTGCGATTACGTATCGTGAAAGGATTAAGTGAAGAACTATTTTGTGCCATTATTATACGCGGCATAAAAGATCTACAAATACGTGCAGCCGCCACTAACGCGAAATTGATATCGGAAACAATTGTGGAGTTTTTATCAATATATGTGAAACCAGTCCGTTTAAGTGCAAGTGTTTCTAATAGCATTCATACGCGTAATAACCGAACCGTCATAAATAACACTTTATTTGAGCGGAACCACAAGCGTCCCTTATATTCTAATACACAATTACGGTGTTATAATTGTAATCTAACCGGACATAAAAGTCAATATTGTCCAAAAAGAAATAAGCTCGATGAAAATAATAGTAACATAGGTAAAAATAAATTCATGACTACCCTCGAATCTACTAACAAATACGTTCCAAAAGTTATATGCACATTTTGTGAAAAATCGGGTCATACCGATGACATTTGTTTTGCAAAAGATCGTTCGGAAACGCGAAATAAATCTAACGTTAACTTTTGTTGTGAAGAAAAATGTGATCATACTAAGAATGACATAATAACGGCAGTAATTAGTGGAATACCCACTGATGTACTGATCGACAGCGGTTCGAGTATTTCGTTAATATCAAATGATCTTGTCAAACATCTTTCATGCCGCACGTATCCGAGTATACAGATATTACGTGGGTTAAGTGGAATAGAAATGCGTTCCGATTGTTTCGTTACTTTGCCTATAGAATTTAGTGACGTAACCTTAGAAATCGATCTTCATGTTGTACCCCGTGATTACCTTAGTGCGCCAGTGCTTATTGGTACGGATGTATTGAATAGGAAAGGAATTGCATACATACGAACTGGCGATTCACAGCGAATAATTAGAAATATTTTGTTCGTGAATAACTTGACTCATAGTAAACCGACTGTGCAACTCGACTCAATCAACACACCGTTGATAGGTGATGAAAAAGCGCGTTTATTATGTATTTTAAACCGCTACTCAAAATATTTCCTTAGTGGCACAGCAACAACCACTGTAAATATCGGGGAAATGCACATTCGGCTTACTAGTGAGGAACCCGTTAATTACCGCCCATACAAACTTTCATATAATGAAAAAAATCGCGTTCGTGAAATAATTAACGATTTAAAAGAAAACCGTATAATACGTGAATCAGACCGCGTACGCGAGTCCAATCTTATTGGTAAAAAAGAAAGACGGTTCGGATAGAATGGTTGTTGACTATCGAGCTTTAAATAATATAACCGTAAAAGACCGATACCCTCTTCCTTTGATCGACGATCATATAGATAGGCTCGGGAAATGTAATTATTTTACTGTGCTGGATATGGTTACCGGTTTTCATCAAATAAAAGTAAATGTGAACTCTGTACACAAAACTGCGTTCGTGACACCTGAAGGGCATTTTGAGTATCTTAAAATGCCCTACGGCTTAACTAACGCGCCTGTAGTATATCAGCGAATTATATCCAATACATTGAGATCTTTTATTGACGCAGGACAGGTTCTAGTTTACATAGATGATGTTATGCTGTTAAGCAACAGCTTAGAGGACGGCTTGTCATTGCTTGATTCTGTTCTGAAGGTTTTAACAAAGGCAGGTTTTTCTATTAATTTAAAAAAGTGCATCTTCCTAACGGCAGAGGTAGAATATCTTGGAAGAACTATTAGCAAGGGTCAGGTCCGACCGAGCGCGCATAAAATAGCCGCACTAATTAAATCTCTGGTTCCTAAAAATGTAAAGCAAGTGAGGCAGTTTCTCGGTCTGGCGGGTTATTTCAGAAAGTATATCCCAGGATACGCTACTAAAGTGGCCCCAATCGCTTTATTGACCCGTAAAGATGTAAAATTTCATTGGGGTGATGAACAGGAGCGAGCAAGACAAGAAGTTCTCACGATTTTGACTAGTGAACCCGCGTTAATAATCTTTGATCCATTATTGCCGACTGAAGTACATACTGACGCGAGTTCATTAGGATATGGTGCTGTATTAATGCAGACAGCTAAAGACGGACGTAGGCATGCAGTAGCATACTATAGTAAAGTTACTGTAAGGGCGGAACCAAGGTACCACTCCTACGAGCTAGAGACCCTCGCTGTAGTTAAAGCGTTGCAACATTTCCGTCAATATCTTGTTGGTAAACATTTTAAAGTAGTTACCGATTGCAACGCCTTAAAAATGACTCAGCGTAAGAAGGATCTCTTGCCTAGAGTGGCACGCTGGTGGATGTTCCTACAAGATTATGATTTCACACTTAAGTATCTAAAAGGTCAGTTTATGTCACATGTAGATGATCTTAGTCGCAACCCGGTTAACCTTTGTGCTGTACGAAAACCATTTAATTGGGCTCAAGTTGCGCAAGCCGCGGATGACGAAACGGTAACTTTACTCGATAATCTTGATCAGGGACAGTTAGATAGTTCGCGATATGTAAAGAAAAACAATTTGCTCTACTATAAGTACAATCCGATAGGTGAACAGTCACGATTACTATGTTATGTTCCAAAAGGATTTAGGTTAAGCTTATTACGTATTTCATGATGAACACGGACATATTAGTATTGAAAAAGTACTCGATCTAATTTTAAAACATTTTTGGTTTCCTAACATGCGTCAGTTCGTCAAGAAATATATAAGTCATTGTATTATTTGTCTAACATATAAAAAGGCACCACGAGCTCCTCTACAGCCTATAATCTCATGGACGAAACCTACATTACCTTTTGATACAGTGCACGTAGACGCCCTTGGTCCTTTATGTGAATCAAATGGGTACAAATACATTCTTATTATAATAGATGCTTTTACGAAATTCTGTTTTCTGTATCCTATGTATGGACAAGATAGCGCAGAACTAAAACGAGCATTTATTAATGCCTTGTCACTTTTTGGTACTCCTAAATTAATTGTATGTGATAGGGGTAGAATGTTCAATAGTGCCGAGTTTGGCGAGTGGGCATTAAGTTTTGGTATTAAGATACATTTTATAACGCCCGAAATGCACCATGAAAATGGTCAGGTAGAAAGGTATTGTCGAACAGTTCTCAATATGGTTAGGATAGAAGTAAATTACCGACAAGAATCTTGGTCTAATGTACTTTGGAAATTACAACTTATACTAAATATTAACAAACAAAAAAGTACTCAATGCTCACCACTAAATCTACTCATCGGTTGTGACACCACTACTCCCACTATTAATGCTCTCATCCGAGATATAACTATTGAGAGTTCCACAACAAATCGCGAAGCTTACCGCGAGATGAGACGACAGAGGGCCGGAGAACTGCTTGCTCAAAATCAAGCTAATCAAGATGCGCGTGTTAATAAAGGTAGAAAAGCACATTTGCTCTGAATGATCTGGTTTTCGTCAAGAAATCTTCTCAAATTACTGATAAACTTGACAGTGGCATCCGGGGGCCATACCGCATTATAAACACTCTGCCTAATAGTCGATATGAACTACGACTGTTGGCAGGATCGTATGGTAAAACTACGCAGGCCGCCGCGGAATATATGATACCGTGGCGAGGCGAGTGGACCCCCGAGACCTGTGCAGCTTTTTTTGAATGTAAGATATAAATTCATTACTAGATTTTGTTAATGCTTATGTTTTCTTTTGTGTTTCTATTTATATTTTTGGGTTTTTAATTTTCTTTTCTGCTTATACGTGAATTACGTTTGCTGCAGTCAGGAGGTCGAAAAAAAACCGAATAATTAATAATTATTTATTAATTTTACATTAATACAATAATTATATATCTTAAAACTAACGACGTCTTTACTCGAAGTATGAATAAAGAGTGATTGGAAAACTATTACAATTAATAAAATTACTAAATTAAAACAATGCGGCATTACAAAACTAATTCGGGGAACTTGGCGGTGGTCGCCTGGGAAACGTACATTTATTTGATATGTCAGCATATTCGTGGGATTAGGGTTCCGTAACTCGTGTGGCATATAATTGTGTGGTCTGGTATAAAGACTCTTGTAAGACCTTGCGCGGCATAGAGTTGATTTAAAATACCTAAGTGTTTGAGTTAGCATGTAAGACCTGGATGGCTACGGCATAAGGCGTTGCATTCTCGTGTAAAATCTTGTGTGGTATCGAGATTCACTTTGTGTAAGTCCTTGTGTGGCATCGAAGTACACGACGTATAAGTCCTGGTGCGGCATCGTTCGTTGAATTATTTTAGTTACGTATATGTAGACATGTAAATACCCACAATGACATTTCTTATCTCGTTTAGGCTATTAACGCCTAATGTAGCGAATATTAAAATTAACGCGTATGTATTTTATCCTCTCCAGGCTATGAAGATTTAACTGTTCCGACATCCCCAGAGACAGATCAAATTGAGCCATCAACAGAGAGCATCGAGGACGCTGCATCATCAGGAGAGGCCGTGTTAGCTGTATCTCAAAAGTAGAGGGAGTTACGAGTGACAAGCCCTATATAAGACTATGAAAACCAGCGCCGCGCTCTCTTCTCTGGTCAAAAGGCGTGCGCTCGTGGACTCGAAACGATCTATTCAGAATACCGTATTTCGAAAATTAGTCATTGTGTGATTTTATTAATTTTATTTTCTTTTGTATAAATTATAATCATTTATTTTGTTAAATTTATATTTTTTTTAATTAAA